TCTCTATATCTCAACATATCTCTCTATTCTCTCGCACCTACAGCACCGACTCCGCTTCAAGCTCAATATCCAGCCAGGTGGATGCAGCTGCTCGCCTCGCTGGCTATGGTGGTCACGCAGCCACCTGGAAGACGACGCCCATAGCAACCACAAAGATCACATCGCCGCACAGCAAGCCGGTCGCAACGAGTCAAGCAACGAGCGCCGCCTCCACAGCGACGCCCTTCACCCACTTTGGCAGCCATGCGACAGACGAAATGGCCACGTCGGTGTTCTGCAGCAGCAATGGCGATGGCCAGGAGAGCGATCTGTTCGACAGCAACTACCCCGATCTGCTGGACATAGCCAAGTACGCCGTGGCACAGGCGGCGCAGACGGGCCACGCCTACCCGCCGGCGGGAGCGGGCACAGCGAACGGCGGGCTCTGCACGCTGCCGCGCAAGCTGAAGCACAGCGGCAAGTATTTCCGCAATTCCTCGGACAGCCAGTCGCCGCTGCTGGCGGACAACTCGAGCAAGTACGGCAGCAGCACGCTGGGCGACGGCAGCTTCCTGAACGAGGCCATGGGCCTGGGCAGGCGCTACTCGGCCGAGTCGAGCTATGCGAACTACGCCAGCACCACGACCTACACGGGCGGCGGCCAGCGCGCCAACAGCTTCTTGAATCTGGTGCAGAGCGGCGCCCACAAGGGCGGCCTGCACGGCCACCTACTGGGCCAGAAGCCCAGCCTGCCCTCCTCGCCGGTGCAGCACCAGCGCTCGTTGAGCAGCGCGGCGACTCCGCTGCTCGACTTCTCGGCGCTGGCGACGCGCGCTGCCGGGGCAGCCAACTCCTCGGCGGCCGCCTACGACTACCATGCGGCGCAGCTGGAGCGCTTTCTGGAGGAGTACCGCAACCTGCAGGACCAGCTGTGCAAGATGAAGGAGACCTGCGACACCATACGCAAGAAGGAGACGCCTCTGCGCGTCGCCATCGGCCAGTCGGCGGCCCAGCTGGCCGACCCTGTGATGTATAATGCAGCGACTGCCGCGCACAGCCCCAAGCCGCCAACGTCGACGCTCAAGGCGAAGACGCTGCTGCCCGGCCAGCCGCCCGATCCGCCGCCCTATTGGCTGCACCGCAACGCCATGCTGAAGCGACTCAATGCGGATGCCAATGGCGCGGGCAGCGGCTCGCCAGGCGCCGCCTCGCCACAGCCCGGCCAGGACATCTTCAAGAGCTAATCGAACTTGTGTACAGTCGATGAATAAGCCCAAAAACCGGTAACTTCTTCGGTGCGCCGAAGTCTACATAACCTTGCAGCGGTTGCTTAAAGATCTACTAGAATTTTGTTTATAATTGGAGCTAAATGCTCATTTATTTATTTTATTTTAGAGAAGACTCAAATAAGATATTAAAACAATAGAAAAAAAAAAAATAAATAAATATAAATTTAAAATTAAATTAAAAATGATATTCAAAAATTCTGGAATTTTATGATTTTATTTATTCATGAATTTATATTTTTATTATAATAAAATTTATAATTTGTTAACTAACATAAATTCAATTAATATCCTTTGATTTTTAATCTAAAAAATAATTTCTAAAAAATTTTATTTTGATTTAAGCTGTTTGGCTAAAATTTATTTTTCTATTATTTTTCTTTAACAAATTTTATAAATAAAATCATATTTGTTAACTCGATTTTTATGTAATTTAATTTTAAAAATGTATTTTTTTGTATATTAACTGACTGATTGAATATTCACAATTTTATCTATTTTTTACGTATGTTGTTTCCATTTCAAAATTCGAAAATTCCATTTAGAACCAGCTGCAAGGTCATGTCTCTGTCACTATAAATGCAATTTCTCTTAATTAGGCTTAGTTAGTTGGGGGTTCTCGACTGGCCCATAGGCTGCCAGCCCCTCTATTGTAATATAGAACACACACTTTTCCACTCTTTCTACTCGCTACGCATATTCAGCAGTCACATTGTAAGTGTATAGACAGATGCCCCGCCCTCCTCCCCAATTACAAGTCTAAAATAAAATTAAATAATAAATCCGAAAATGAATGCAAATTCCAAGTTCCCAAAGCTCTCGTGTTAGTCAAACTAAAAGTGTTTTTGTACTTTAAGCGATCTCAGAAAAACCAAAAAGAAAAAAAAAATAAGAAAAACAAAAAATATATATATAACGAATTAATATTTATTAATTAATTAAATTACATATGTATAGACTAAGTGGAATTGAGTTGGCACAGACTGCAGGCATTGATTGATTGATTGATTGATTGATTGATATATTGTTTGATTGTTAGACATTTTATTAGAGTTTTAAGTTTAAGCGAAATCAAATCAAAGTTGGAAATATGGGAATTAATACGCCGGCTCAATTCGAACGAAATAAATTGTAATTAACAGTAATAATAGCAACAACAATTTAATTTAGGGTGTCACTAAACTAAAGCTCGAAAGACAAAAGCAAAATGAAATAATAATAAATTAGTTGAGAATTGAAACACAAAAAAGCAAAAACCAAACAAAATATGCCAAAGCGCATTTTAATGGGCTTCGATGGGCGGTGGGGCTGGGTTCATTGGCTGGCCCAATCGACAGCCGTGCAAATGTTCATTTCCGGCGAGCGCCCTCAATCAGCAAGTGGGCGTGGCAGGGGCTCGATTTGAAGTAATTGTCGCTAGTCGCGCGACATTCGCCCGTGGGGAAGGGGGGAGGGGCGTGTGTGTTGCTGCCGGCCACGCCCCGGTCAGTTGGCAAGATTAAACAATAATTTTGATGGCGCACACGCACACACCCACACACAGACACACACACACTTGTACAAATGGCGCCAATTGGTTTTGTGTGAAAATCGCAAAACATTTCTTTTATTCCTTTTATTTGGAACATTTCGCCTCACATTTGGCCGCTCAAATGAAGTTGTAAAATGCAAATGAAGTCGACGTCCTCAACGTCGTCGTCGTCGTCGTCGTCGTCGTCGCGTTAAAGTTCATGTTCGATGCGATGTCGCCATAAAGCAGGATTAAACGGAATTTATGAACCTTTGACACGGACGCAACCCCGTCGCAGCGCCCACAACGACAGCGGCGACAACGACGTCGACATGATAGCGGACACATGCGGGCCTCTCTCTCCCCCTCCCTCACTCACTCACCTACTCTCGCACTCTCCAGCTGCTCCTCACTCTCTGCTTCTTCTTCACATTCACGTTTCACACACTGACACAATGGGACAGAGCCACGCTGACATTTTGTTGACCTGCAGGCATTTGAATATAAAATTCTCTTCACTTTTACACATGCACATACATACATAGCATATATATTATATATTTATACACATACATATATATATCTGAAACAATTTGTGTCGTCAGTGAATTCCCATCGTCATTCGTATGCAAAAAGTCTCTCGTTTAAATTCTTAACTTTTATCAATACGCCAGCAAATATTTCAAGCTCAACTAAAGGCTGATTGGCCAACACTTTAGAAGCTAGAAAGCTTTAAGAATTTTATTTAATTTATTTACTTATATTTTAATATAAGACTCCTTTATCACATAATTCAAACAAATTCATATAGCAAATTCTTTTTGCAAATGCTATTAAATTGTTCACAGAAGTGTGCTCCTAGCTTGCCATTTATGTGTTGATACAATATATATTAATTCACTATATAAAACAGCATAAATTAAGCTTTGGCTTCATAGCTTCAATTAATTATATTGACTTTAAATCAATTTAATTTATGGCTGCAGCTTTAAGTTTACTTTATCTAATCAAATCTCCTGTTACTTTTTAATATTTGAATGAAACCTGTTTTCAGCTAAAATCAGTACAATTTGATTACTAAATCATCGACGTAATATATTTCTAAAATCTCATGCTACGCATAAAGGCTTTTAGCATTATTCTTAAAGCCAAAACGTGCATAGTTTTCTTAAGCTGAGCGTGAGAGAAGTTGGCTAAGTTGGCTGCGGCATTTGCTAAAACCACAAGCTCGGCCAGCTCTTTGCGGTTTGGCGGCTTTAATAGTCACACACACACACACATACACATACAGGAATATGCTTACATTACCATTACCTGTCCCATTTCTCTTGCCGAGCTACACGTGGCATCGGCTGCTGCTGCTGCTGCTGCTGCTGCTGACCGGCTAAAGCGAAAATAATGAGCCCAATGTAGCTGGCTAAAGTGTGTGAATGTGCATGTGTGTGTGTGTGTGACTCTTTCTCTCTTTATCTCTCTCTCTCTTTCTCCCTCTCTGTGTGTGTCAGCTGGAAGCAAGCACTGCTGGCAGCGTTGAGCACAGTCGAGTTCATGTCAAGCTGTCAGTCAAGGTCGATTTCGTTTGCCGTCGCCCCCGTCCAGGTGGCAGCTATGCGCCTTGTGCAACATGCCAGCACATCAGCAAAGGGTTACAGTTAAGCAGGCATACAACTACACTATATATACATAAAATAATATACATATACATACATATATATGTATATGTATATGCATTTTGCCTGGCAAGTGGCTTTTTGTCACTGTCTTCGGGCTGCCAGTGCAATTTTTATGCTCGTCAGTGTGTGCCCACCGAGGCAGCAGATAAATTGTGTATACATCGCTTGCATATGCGTGTGTGTGCGTGTGTGTGTGCTTGGGAATTTTTTCATCATTATCAGTGTCCTTGTAAGCAGTGCTGCCGCTGCTGCCACTGCTGCTGCCACATGCCACTTAATGCCAACGCTGCACGTTCCACTTTTGCATGTCGTCTTCGCCTTGCGCTGCGGCCTTTTGTGGCCACTGCGTCGCACAATTGCATGCCACTGCCACGCCCACGCTGGGTGGGCTGGTGGGCCATTATGTTCAAGCATTTTTGTGTGTGTGGCATAAGTTGGCACTTTAGCGTCAGGAGGCAGCTGCTACCTGTTTCAGTTACCTGTTTCCATTTACAGTTTCAGCTTTGGCCTCCGCCTGCGTTTGTTTTAGCCCGGCTCGGGACGTGCCGCCATTTTGTTGTCCTTGGACCACACGTCCCAGCCGGCCTCGCCCCTCGCCCCCTCGCCCGTAACATGACTTTTATTTCTCAATTGCCAATATTGGCAATCGATATGCGCGCTAATAGCTGCGTGCAAAGCCATATTCACGTGCGTGTGCGTGAGTGTGTGTGTCTGTGTCTGCCTCTGTCTGTGCTTGTGTGTGTGTGTGTGTGTGTCTCTGTGTGTGCTTCGTGTGTTTGCTTAATGCGCCGTTCGCTGGCTGCCATCGCACATTTTAATGGATGTTGCATTACCCGCGAAGGCGTTGCACACGCGTCAGTTGCCGCTGCTGTGGCTAAAAAAAGGGGGCGAAGGGGATGGGGGAAAACTTTTGCCAGCATACAAATTGAAAAATAGTTTTTCCCAGCTTCGCTCAACAAAGTTGCAAAATGTAAAAGGCTATTATTGATTAGCTTTCTGAACAATTTGTTGGTCCACATTAGATACGGCTTTGAGCCAAATTAAAGCCTTCAAGCCAGGAGCTTAACGGAATTTAAGTAGAGCAAACAGCAAGTGACTGCAGCTGAATTTTCACTCATATTTCCAGTTGCGATTACGTAATGAGCGCACTTTTATTTTTAGCATGCAACAAATAAAATAAAAACCGTAATAAATGAAAAGCTTTCTGCAAATGGCCGCTGACAGTGTCAAGGATAATGCGCAAAGCCGGAAATAAACCGAAACGAAACTAAATGAAGCCGGACTATTTTGGCTTAAATGAAACGGCTGCCTTGACCGAGTCAAGCTCTTTGAATTTAAATATTTAAATAAATCCTAATAGCCGCTGTCAATTATGGAATTTAAATCAAGTCCCAGGACTTAGTGGGAAACTGAGTGAGAAATCAATTTAGTCAAGTGGAGACGGAGGAATCAAATTTGAATGCCAAGAGATTCACAAATGGTAAATAAATAAATAAATTTAAATACTATGTATAAATTAATTTAGTCATAATAAAATGAATTTGGGATTGCTTTAAGAATTTTATAGCAATTTAAAAATATTCGATGCTATGTAAGGAGAAATACTAAATTGAATGTTTTTATATCACTCCGTACAAAAAGAATATTAAATTTTCTCTCTAGTTTTGTTTAGCAAAGTGCTGAATTTATTGGAGGTTTGGTATTCATTGCCTCACTGTGGCGGTGACATTTTTCAATTGATGCAAACAAAAATGCAAGCGATATAAAAAATGTTCAATTTCAAATAAATACATGGATTTCTATATATGTATATGTATGTGTACATTGGCCAATCAAATGGGTCAGGCCGTGAGTAAATA